GTCGACTAACATATATGTAATTAAAATTAAAGGAAAGCTAGAGTCGAGTTGACCCAACTGAAATTAATGAATGAGCCCAAGCAGCAACAACAAGGAGAACAGCTGCGGGCAGAGTTGGGTAGAGATTTCACTTATGACTGTAACTTTCTTTATATTAGACCCGTCATGAAACTTAACAGTGGAAAATTCTAAGAATTATGGAATATGGACTTATGGAATGGGATTATGGAATATATACTCAAGAATATATACTTTAGGCTGTCAGCCACTCCTCCTTCTGTGTGTTGTATACATTCGCAACGAAACTTTAGGTACAAGGTATAAAAAGAGGAAACGAAATCTGAAGAGAATTAAATTTCTGGTTACATTAACTTTGTTTCCAAATAATAAGTAAATCACAAAAAACTGGAGGTAATATTTGCACTTCGTTTTACCAGCACTTGTGTGGACAAATTTTAGCCATTTTAAAGCAGTAAAAGAATTATTTTAATGTATATTTTAAATCACAAAACATCATAAATATAATTTAGAACAATTAAGCAAGCATCATTTATTAAATACAAAATTAATTATATCCGATATATACACACTTTAAATTGCTTTATAAATTAAATAAAATGCAACTTTTTAAGTTATCGGCCTGCTTAGATATAAGACACAAATATGGAAGGACTTGTAGAAAAATAAAGAATATGTGTAAATGAAGAGCAAGAAAAATGGTTTTCAGCCTAACTTTATAGTTTGAAATCATTTGCATATAGGACATCTGAAAGCTTTTTAAGTCCTGAATAGATTAATAATAGACGAAAAGCTTATTTAATTTGCATGCGGCCCATTAAAGCGAATTTCTTGGCCCACTGTGCCACAGTGCCTTCTACGAATTCGTCCACGCAAGGCAGGCATTGTGGACGGCACTCAAGCTTCTGCAATCAACAAAATTGAAGTCGTTTGTTGCTGCTTCTGTCCTTTGTTGTTGCTTGTTACTGTGGCTCGTTCATCCGCCAGACCGCCTGCCACCTCTCCCGTCTCTCCAACCAGTCATGCTGCCAGTTGCTGCTCATATGTTTCGAAGTGCTGTCCAAAAGTAACTTTTGTTTTGCGCCTCAACAAAGTTAAACAAAAAGTAACTACTTTTGCTGATGGCAATATTTTTGGTATTCTTCATATTTTTTTCATATAATTTTTTGTTGTTGTTGCCATGTTTTTATTGCTGTCATACACATTTATTTCTAAATAATTGAAAAGTTATCACACCCAGTCCGCAAGCGCAAAAACAACAAATGCAACAAAAAGAAGATGTGCGGCCAACCCCACTGTGCCGCACAGATTTTGCGCGTCTTTGTTTTGTAGAACTGAAATTTATATAGAAAAATTGCAAGCTGCAAGAAAAATCAAGCATAGCGGTTGCCACTCGCTCATATGTTAGCTTTATGGCACCATTTTGTTAATTTATTTCACTTGCTTGACAGTTTGTTTTCAATTTTTTTTTCTCTCTCTATTTTTTGTTGTTTTATTTGTTGTGCTTTCAGTTTTTTTTAGCGCGTTGGCTTTAGCTTTGTCTTTTGTTGGGCGCTGGGCAAAATATTTTTACACATTCTTTTTAGTGTGGTAGCGCATTTTTTCGGTGTGTGTGTGTGTGTGCATTTGTGTGTTCTTGTTTGTGTCGGTGTGGTTTTGACATAAAGTGCGCTTATAAAAAACCGCCAAGTTAGAATCCAACGCAACGGAACAACATTTTTTTGATGAATGCAACACGCAACGAGAAAAGAGACAAAAATGGCATAAAAATAGCTGATAAATTTGTGCGCGAAAAACAAATGGTTAAAGTTTAAAATGAAAATTGTGGCAAAAACGAAATAAAATCAAGAACAAAGACTAAAACAAAAAGCAACGTCGTGCAGCACGCAGGCAATGCGAGAGAAAACAAAAAGGGCCATTCAAAAATGACACAAGAATGGAAGGATGGAGTGGGGCGTAGTGGAGTCGACTAGAGTGGAGTGGAGTGGCATGGAGAGGAGTGACTAAAAATGTGCATAATAAATATCTCAATCACAAAAAGGCAACTGACCAAACAGACAAATGACAAAAGGACAAATATGACAGCAAATGGAACAAAACGAAATGAATACGAAGCAATGGTTGTTATATTTGTTGTTGCTTCTACTGCTGTTGGTTAAACAAAGACAACAAAAAGCGTTGCGCAGATTAAAAATCTAAACTAAAAAGGCACAAAAATAAAAAAATATATATATATGTATATATTCATCTATGTATGTATATGTGTATGCATTCATTTATATGTATGTACTTTTGTATGGGGAATGGAAGGAAAGGGAAGTATAAGCTGTTTCCATTTTGCAGCATCAAAGATTTTTTAGATGTTGATATAAAACAAGCGACTAAATAAAAACCGCACACCCGCACATAGACAGCCACACTCGCACACTCGCACACAAGTGCAGGTCCATTTATCTTCTGTCACAGTGTGAGTGTTTCCGTTTTTGTAATGAATGTCCAGCTGTGTGCATTGCCCTGCAGACCGAGCGACAGATCGCCCCACTACAATTGTCGTTGATAGAGGGTGTGAGAGGGAGAAGCAGAGATAGAGAAAGAGAGGGGGATGGCCCGTCCAGAAACTCCTCCTCTAGATGGCTATAGGTTGCTGAAGCTTGCCGCTGAAAGGCGTCTTTTATGTCGCTTGATAAGATAAGCTTTGCTTAAAATATACGTCTATATGTATGCGCATGTATGTGTGTATGTATATATACTTGTATATCTATATAGTGTAAGAGATACACTGCAGCACAAAAGCTGGGAAGAAAGGCAAGCAAGTGTGCAACTTGTATGCGGCACATTCTTAATCCGGGTTTTTGTCATTACACTTTCCACTTTATTTCCGTTCTGCCCGTTTCGACCCTTGCCCGCTTCCCTTAACACTATTCTTTCCTTGTAAGCATCCCATTGCTCCTTCTGCCCGAATTAGGCAGATTTTCTTCGTTTTTTCGCCATTTTAGAGAGCAATTGGAAATAATACAGCGACGACAGGCAATGCAAGACAGAGATTTTAAACGGGTAGCTATAGACAACAGCACAGTAAGGGATTGCTGGAGGGGGGTTGGTGTAAGAGCTGACTAAGCAGCATAAGCTGCATGCTATGAAACTCTATCGTTATTGCAATGTCCTCGAACAGCTTAAGAGCAATTTGTTGTTTTAACTGTATACTCTGTGAAGGATTGCAGGAATCATAAAAATTATATGCATCTTAGTCCAATTATTATGCACGGATGGATTGAGCAATTCAGATTTTCAAGTATTTTAGTACACACATAATAAAAGCTCCCTCTACACTAATAAAAAAATTGTTCTTAATTTCGAATGGAATCTAACTTTAAATTTCAAGAACTAAATATACTTGAAGGTGCTTAAACAACGCAAACTAACAAGAGAAAATATTACAGTCGAAGAAGCCCGACAGTGTAATACCCTTAACTCAAACAAACTTCCCATACTGAGTCATATAGTAGTAGTCATAGTAGAAGCAAAAAGAGGAGGAGGAGCGAAGTTGTTTTGCTAAAATCTTTTATTTGCGTTTACCGATTGTAATGAAATTTGAAAATATAGTAGAGAGTTATGTATTTGTTACGTGTGCAAAGCTAAGTTTATGTAGCTTTGGAAATGTTGGGAGTATTGACTCAACTCTGTAGCAGGGGAGGGGCGGACAAAATCCAAAAAATTTAATAAATGCGTATAGGCTAGGGATTAGGGGAGTCTACATTCCATGTCTGGTAATGTGCGCTGAGGCGTATTTAGTAACTTTTATGATTGTCTTTGTATTACTTTGGACTGCAATTCCTAAATCACTTCTCTGCACAAGAGTGTTAAAAATACGAATTGTGAGTGTTTGATTGATGGCTTCCTTGTATATGGACTGTGGGTTGTATCGGATGCGCTAAAGGACGAATATGTGTATATAGGTGTTGTTAAAAAACCTGATAAATAAATTAAACAAAATGATATGAAATAAAATAAGGCCAGTGAAAAAAGTGAAAATCAATCTATTAAAAGTCCTGTTATTTATATGCAGACCAGGTAGAGGGCAACTTTTGCCATCTAACGTCCTGATAGCCCTTCAATTGCAGCGCACAGGCAGTCTGGAATAAACTTCGACAACAGCAACACATGATGGAATAGATGTTTATACAAATAGCTGCCACTTTAACACAGCTATTGACCGCAATCATCCCCAAGATAATATTGGTATTCAGAGCCTTTTTCTAAAGATGCATTTTTGCGAGTAGCAAATAATGTGAGTGAACAATGTGATGAACAGATTCGAGTGTGGATGACCTGCTTTATTCATAGTAGTTTTACAAAACCATCGACAATCAACACTTCGTATTATATCAATGATAATAATAATCAAAAATGAAACTTATTAAATTGAATGTTATATGAAATGAATAATATATATTACAAAATTACTACAATTGGCATCACTCTATCTATATTCGAACAAAAATCAACTTCATTTACTTAAACGCAAACCATATTGAAAGCAGCGCTGCCCATACTACTCGCATTTTGTGTTGCTACGAGGACAATCCTCAGTGGGCTAACTGGCATAGATGTATTTTATTTTCGTTCACATTCCCAATGGCATAAGAGCGAATCAATCTATTTAAACAGCAGCCACTAAGCCATTTTCCATTTGTTTTCACAGCCAAATTGATCAATTTCTATGCGCTTTGTCATTCGTCCGTAATGTGGAATAGTAATGGCCCTAATATAAACTTTTTAAAGCAAATTTATTCGATACACGATGTCACCTTGACTTCCATCGCCTCCACATTCGAAAAACTGTAAAATTGATGCCATGACTTAACTCTCATTCCACAGCCAGACCCAACGAGTAAGTGTCAAGGTGAGGCAAACTACAAATATACATATATTTTTAAAGTAAAAATTTCAAGTTGTCTACGACTTTTTTACAGAGAAACACAAAGACAAATCTTCAAGCAACTACTCAAACACCCAACTTGACTCAAGGCGTACTCAGAAATCATAAATGGCCATCGACTACCTCTTTTATTGGCTGCTCCTGAGCATGCCCGTGCGCTTCGTACTCTATACAGTGCACGTCTATCTGCAGAATCTGATTGCACTACTCCAGTTAACCAACGACGCATTGTCTTTAATCATGGAACTGTTGGTTCTCTCACGCCGTAGCATTCGCCGTCTGCGCCGTTATATTGGACCCGTTCCGTTAATCAACCGACTACTGCATATCGTCTACTACGAGCTGACCACTCTGGGGTTCTTCATAAAACTGTTCTCGCTTTTGTTGCGCATTCCGGTGAAGGTGTTGACTCGCCTCAGCCGTCTATTCCGTATATGCGCGCACGGACGCACTTGGGTACTCATGATGCGGCTCCGATAATTGCAGTTCCAGTCGCAATTCAAGATCCGACAACTACGGATGTGGCTATGGCTGTCGCTGCTCTTGTTTACAATTTTACAATTTACAATTTTGTATACAAATTATCAGAGCGAGTGGAATAAACTGCATCCTGCAAAACCGCATTCAATTTAATGTAGTTTTTCGACACAGTGGGACAAATTCGAATAATTGTTAAGCGGATAATTAATAATTAGCTAATAGCTACATCTATATTGGAGACTGTTAAAGGGTATGTTTCTGTGTCAAGAAAAGCGTAACAACATTGCTAATTAAACATCAATTTCAAACTTCTGTATATTGTGGTAAAAAAAGAACCAGAAATGTACGCTTCATTTTTGAAATTTAATTTCGAGTTATACTTATTACTGAAAATTAATAACTTCTAACTTCATAAAATTTGGGTATTGTTTATAAAGGGATTTTGTGTATCGATATAATAATAAAAAATTTCTACAACAACACTATTGTGCAATTCACTCGATAGATCAGGTTTGATCGAGATCTTAACTGAACAAGGTGTACAATTATAACTGCTGTGTTTTATTTGGTGAGCATAATTTTCCTTCCATATGTTTATGACATTATTAACTCATAACATTCCATTATTGATTAATAAGAATTCAGTCCCCCACTTCAGTCGACTCAATACCATTACACCTCCACAACCGTGAATAACTTTTTCAAAGCAAAGCAAATAAAGTCTTATTCTATTCAACCCAACAAGATTCTGAATAAATCCGAGAGTGCGAAAAGTAAGCGCCATCACTTTTTTTTGGTGAAAAGTTTTTAAATCTCCCAAGTTTCTAATTTAACAATTTGTTATATATATATGTTCACATTAACATCTCTCTAAAGAAGTTGCTGCACAATTTAGCCGGACTATCAAAACATATTTGGGGAGTGCATCACTTCTTTGCAGCATCAGTATCTTAATGAAGGAGAAGTTTTTGGTGAATGAGACCACTTATAATGAGATCTGCCGCCGAGGGCAGAGAGAGCACGTACCTTCTCAGTCAATAAATGAAAAATTGAAAGCTTTTTAGATTAGCCGCTGAAAGTGAACCACAGTAGCGAATTCTAGCTGGCATATAAGATTCCTATGCCACTCCCATTCGCATTCGCATTCATTTCCAGCGTGCACAATTACACTTGAAGAAATCCTGGGGATTTCATGCGAAAATCCATTTGTCACAATGTTGAGTACGTGAGTAGCGCTGACTGCTGCAGTCACACGGCAGTAGTCGCAATGGCAGTCACTGCGCCGGCAGTAGTGCGTGTAAATGTGTCGCTTGGGTCCTGCATCCTACACGTCCTGCCCGACTGTTGCGTGCCTGCACTCTCCACTGCATTGCAACGCCACAACTGCCTGAAGCTGAATTTGAAGTTTGGAGTTGGGAATGGGATTGAGGCTGGGGATGGGGTTGGAGTTGGGGATGGGGATGGGTCCGGGCTCTATCACAATGACACTTCATTTCAGTTGGCCTCTGCGGCTTCCGCTATAAGGACGCATGCCATGCCAAAAATATACGTGTGCGTGTGTATGAAAGGATGACTATGTCTGGCCAGTCGTGTATTTATATGAGAAAATACTTGGCACTGTGTTATTTAAGCCAACCGAACGCCCTTTTTAATGGAGTTTTATGCGCACTGCTTAGCTGAGAACCGGGCCCAGAAACAGGATTGGCTACCATTGCCAAAGCAGCTGAAGACCGACCAAATGCACAAGTACTGCACAAGTTTTCATAATCATGAATATTGTTTATCGCATTCTGCCCGCGCGCACTTCACTTCATTTAAGTAGAGCTCAGTGCATTTGAGCGTAATGAGATAAAGCGTAAAAAGACTCTAGAGTTGAATTGTAGTTGAGTCCTTTTCCATACTTTTCCATCCTTTTTGGTAAGTGCAAATTAAAAAATAACTAATTTGGCAAGGCAAAAAAAAATTTGTTCTTAAGGCCATCGCGTGTGCAATGCGACTCACGTTAGCTGCAGCTATTATTATTGTTGTTGTTGCTGCAAATACTTTAATTACCACAAGCGGTGGAGAATTTTTTCGTTTTTCAATTTGTTACTATAAAAGTTTACAGCATATTTACACATAGAATTACATGCATGTTGAGCGCATTAAGTTTAATTGAAAACTATTTTTAATTAATAAAATTTCAACACGTCGTTGCCTACGTTATACCGGTAAGCATAAATGCAAGTAGGCATTAACAAATAGCTGCCAACAATATTATAACAATAACCATAATACAATTTTTTTCACAACAAACAAACTGTAACAGCAACAGCAGCGGCAATGATGAGAGGAAAGCCTGGAAAAAAATACATGTACACGTATATTGAAATATCAAACAAAAAAGGTTAATTGACCAACAAATAACTTAATTAAATCAAATGAAAATTAAACAATTCAATTTTTAATGAGGTTCGTTGGTTTTGACCTCATTCCAATATTGAAAAACAAATATAAATGAGAGTGTGAGCGTGCCTGTTTATGTGTGTGTATAGTTGGAGGTCGCAATTCGATTGGAATAGCGCCAGAAGTCTTCAAATTACAGGCCGTTACAATTTTTCAGCTTGCCTTTCCACATATATACCCTTTGTTATTCTTTCACACTTACAAATAAATTTTCAAAAGTCTGCTTTTGATTTAAATGTAATATAATATATATAATAAAGTTTATCACATAGACTAACTATTAATCAATGAAAATATAGACATGTCAGACAAATTGAGAACATGAGCTTAAAAAACTGCACACCAACATCAAGATAAAGACAATACTTAAGGGTGGTGTCTAGGATATTAAATAAACAAAATATTTCTTCAAGCAAATTTTCATCTTATGTATTCCTAAATAATCGGAGAGGTTATTATAATTTTTACTTCCAGAAGGAAATAAAGATTCTTAGTTGACTAACTAAATTTAAATTTTGAAAATTTAAAATTGAACATATTTATTAAAATAAATTAAATTAAATGCCATTAAATTCCCTTAAATCTTTAAAATAGGCCTATCATTTCGACAATATACGTATTAATGGATTGATTAGGAGTTCTTTCAAGTATGGCTTATGCCAACGGGGGAAAGCTTTATACTTAAGAGTAAGCTTTAAAGATGCTTTGAACGGCTATATTTTAACAGAAAATCGTATAAATTAAATTTATAAAATTTATTTAGAAATATTGTATGAAAATTGGTGGGAAAAAAAGCGCTACAACAGTTGTCTACTGTCACAGCTGACATATGTTTAAGTCTATTAGACAAATAGAAAAGCTATTGAGTCAAATCACTGATGGTATTCATTTTAAAGTTTTTGGGTTTCGTATCAGTTCTTGGAAAAGAAAATGTCTACAAATTGTACGAGTACATAGTTCTGCAACAATTAGACCCCTTTTAATAATCAAAGCCTACATTTTTCATGTAAATAAATAATTTAAAGTATTAAACTTATATCTAATTCAAGGATAAAATAATTTAAACAACGTTTAAACTTAATTGCTTGGGAATAGTTCGAAAATTATTTAAAGTGGGCAGGTAATTGGAATAGACTCTCCTCTAATCAACATAATATCATTGGGACTAGTTTATTATTTTGATCTATTCGAAGATATATAGTTTTCGGTATCAGCACAGTTTTTATGAAATTGCCTTATTACTGAGCCTGTTGTTGAAGCTTTCCGGAAATTCCAAACAACTCATTTACACGATTTGCTGGCACAAAAACATTTGGTAAATTGCTGTATCAGCGAAACGCCAACTATAAAAGAGATGTTGATCATAAATAATGTAAATTTATTTAATACATTATCAGCATAAAGCAACAATTAAATTATGTATGTAATGAATGCCACAACAAAAGCAACAACAACTAAAACAACCACATACCAACAACAACAAATAGTCGGCATAATGCAGAGCACTCGACAATTACAACAAAGTTTTTGCCAACGAGGCTGCTCAACAACAATTAACAAAAGCAAAAGAGCAATTGAAACTAAAACTATGGCAATTGTGCTGTTATTGTTGTTGGCATTGTACTAGGTAGGTTTGTTTAATGAATTTATTGATTGCCAAAGTGGAAAACAACAAGAGTCGCGGCTGGGGCAATAACAACAAGCAAATGGATACCATTTACAGCTTAAAAATATTTAATTACCAACATCGGATGCCCACCAAACGCCCCCATGTGCCGATGGAAGCAGGGGCGAGTGGGGCATTGAGGAAATGGCAAGAGCGCTGCCACCAAATTGCAATTAATCTTCTTTTAACGGCAAACTTTTGATCCGCTTTATTTGCATTTCACTGCCGCACACCGACACACTTACACACACAGACAAACACAAATACAAATATACAAATGGTAGCAGAAGAAACAACAACAAGGATGGGGCAAAAATAACAAAAATGCTTGTCATAAAAATTATCAAGGGTTAAAAATTATGCTACGCGTTTCATTCCCGTACTTTCATTCCATTCCATTTCCATTCCCCGCGCTACAAAATGATTTATGCAAAATCTGTTCACCCCTCTGAGCCAAAACCCCAAAGTAACAGTGATGGGGACCGTGGAAAAAAAGAGAAGAAAATATTAATAAAAATTTTGCAATTTCATGTTTTTCTTGGTTCAAGTTTTTTTGGTTTTTTTTTTTTCATCTTTATACTTGTATTTTATGCGACGTAAATTAATTTTAAAATGTTTTGCGATAGCAACGGCATCACAAAATAGGGAAAGATGCGCCGGTCAGGCCATCGCTTTGATATTATTCATAATCTCACATAGAAGGAAAGAAAATCCTTGGCGGACGAAGGCACGTGCCGCAGCCGTCTAACCGATGAAATACTTCTGATAGCCAAAATAGCCAGGATAGTATCCACTGCCATAGCCGCCACCATAATAGGGTGATGAGTAGTAGCCATAGCCGGGATAACCGTATCCATAGCCACCTAATCCTCCTCCATACAGGCCACCGCCAAAGGGATAAATACCGCCAATACCAACACCAATGCCGCCGCCGCCCACTAAGAAACGTGCACGTCGCACGCCATCACTCGCATCTCCAGCGCCCCCAGTTGCCGCCGTGCCGCCAATTTCCTGCTCCAATGACAGTAAATCCGTTT